CTCTGTTATTTAATTTAAGAAATGCCGACTTGACGCCAACGGAACCTGATAATTTGAGAAAAACACTTGCGGTTTGACAAAGAATACCACCTACGCAGTAATTGGCTAATCGCTTTCAGTGCGAATATCTTGCCATAGGCTTAGTCGCTTTATAGAGATAGTCTATTCTGTATTATGCATACAAGCGTCGAGTCTGCAAAAATGTTCATGATACATATACTTAAAACATAACATTTTGACACTAAATACACAACGATTACCGCGCTGTCAGTGCAAGTTTTCTTTGCATATACACTGTAAATTTCAAGGAGTTGAATCAACTCCGCCGAGTGTTATATTGTATCACTAAAAACGATGACAGAATAGCTATTTTAGAGTTGTTTGAACTCCTTGAAATTTACAGTTTAGACAACATGTTTCACAAATCTAAGGAACTGTGTACACCATTTCAACGACCGAATTAATCAAATTGTCAGATATTTAATTTAAATAACCCGGAAACATGTTGTTTGTGCAAAGAAAACTTGCCCGCAAATCTTATTTGAAAAGCCGTTAAAAAATTGTATGTTTACACGCGCAAAAAGTGACGTATTTAGTGACAAAATGTTATGTTTTGAAAGGTAAAATGGTAAATATCATGAAAAATTTGCTTTCAAATAACTCTTACGAGTCGTTTGGGAATACGCTGACTCGACTTAATTAAACACAAGTTATGGTGTCATATAACTGACAGGGTATATGTCTATGAGCGATACTGTGGTTGTGAAGGTAATCGAGTGCGTTTACCACATCCCTAATACATACGACAAGAACATCGGCGAACGATTTGAAATCAAATTCATGGTCAATGAAGTGGTAGAACTCTCCAATATTGGTGACGCTTTTCTCAATTCCGAAGGGTTGAAAATCAAACATTACATATTCCATCATTAATGAATATGGGTTTTCTGTAAATCCTAAAAACCCAGGTATACTTTCGTGCTTCATTTCAAAAAGCAACTTTGCTTCCTTAAGAAATCGTTCTTTAGCAATTGACGATTCGCCTTTAAGCTTTTTAACAGCAACTGTCTCCTTGTCATAAATTGCGCGGTGTATAGATCCATAGCTACCGCTGCCAATTTCCTCCACGTTTCTCAATGAATTCCAGCTAAATGTTGGCAAACCATGATCGATTCGTCTTTTTTTAATAAGCGATGGAACTTTAAAGCTTCCAAGTTTCGACATTTTAGTTGGCAATTAGGCACGAGCACGTGCCCGACTCTTTTATTCAGGATTCAAACCATGAATTTCGTTCGTTTTAGACTTTAGACACTTCACAATAGATAGTTAACATCGGCGAGAACTTTGAAGTGTCGTAAAGAGAAGAAACGCTTCAAGTATCAGTTAAACTAGTCCTTTCGTTAACTGTGACTGTCAAAAGTATAGTGATAAATGAAATAACATTACCCTGTCAGTTATATGACACCTTAAGGAACTTGTGTTTAATTAAGTCGAGTCCGCGTGTTCCCAAACGACTCGTAAGAGTTATTTGAAAGCAAATTTTTCATGATATTTACCATTTTACCTTTCAAAACATAACATTTTGTCACTAAATACGTCACTTTTTGCGCGTGTAAACATACAATTTTTTAACGGCTTTTCAAATAAGATTTGCGCGCTGCGGGCAAGTTTTCTTTGCACAAACAACATGTTTCCGGGTTATTTAAATTAAATATCTGACAATTTGATTAATTCGGTCGTTGAAATGGTGTACACAGTTCCTTAGATTTGTGAAACATGTTGTCTAAACTGTAAATTTCAAGGAGTTGAAACAACTCTAAAATAGCTATTCTGTCATCGTTTTTAGTGATACAATATAACACTCGGCGGAGTTGATTCAACTCCTTGAAATTTACAGTGTATATGCAAAGAAAACTTGCACTGACAGCGCGGTAATCGTTGTGTATTTAGTGTCAAAATGTTATGTTTTAAGTATATGTATCATGAAAATTTTTGCAGACTCGACGCTTGTATGGATAATACAGAATAGACTATCTCTATAAAGCGACTAAGCCTATGGCAAGATATTCGCACTGAAAGCGATTAGCCAATTACTGCGTAGGTGGTATTCTTTGTCAAACCGCAAGTGTTTTTCTCAAATTATCAGGTTCCGTTGGCGTCAAGTCGGCATTTCTTAAATTGAATAACAGACTTGAGAGAATTATAACTGACCCGCTATACTTATCCAGTAATGGCGAAGTGAATTTTTTTTCTCGCGAAACAAATACGGTCGCTACTACCCACAAGTATTTAAGTCACAGGTTTGCTTGGGCGAGATGACGCCACTTTGATCACAGTAAGTTTGTAAACCGGCCTTTACATAGTAGGTGTATGATTATTAGTCGGTGGGCATATGATGTAAGACGTCATTGGGTGAACAGCGTTTTGATGTATAAAATTCTTAATGAGCAGTCCGCTCCAAGTCTTAGAGAAAAATTTATAAAAATTAAACATCTTAATAGAGAATATAATCTTCGAAGTAATGATACTGATTTAGCACTCCAAAACCTAAAACAAACTATCTTAAACGAAGTTTTAAGTATAGTTTGGTTTCAAAGTTTGTTTTCCGCGTTTTACCCTCTTTTCCGCGTTTTACCCTCTATTCCGCGTTTTACCCTCTTTTCCGCGTTTTACCCTCTATTCCGCGTTTTACCCTCTATTCCGCGTTTTACCCTCTATTCCGCGTTTTACCCTCTATTCCGCGTTTTACCCTCTATTCCGTTTTACCCTCTATTCCGTTTCCGCTTTTCCGGTTCCGCCATTCCGGTTCCGCCAGTCCGTTCCGTTCCGTTTCCGCGTTTTACCCCTACCCTGCCAAAACACACTTTACTAATTTTAATCCGATTGTAGTTCGAAGTGATAACAGAGAGCGGAAAAACCCCGCCAAACCTAATATCGTCTTTTACGGAGATTGAAATATTCTCAGATTGTCCCCACAAAAATTGTTTAGAAACGCGCACGTTTTATCCGATTCTCTCCAAACTTTGCCACAATGTTGAACAATAGTACAGCAGCAAAACAGTGTTCGCGTTTTTTATTTAGTGCCATACTTTTCAAGTTATAGGCATCTATTCTGCCGTTCTCCCAAAATTTAGATGAGTCAACTTCTCTGCTTTATATCAAAGCAAATATAATACCTGTCAAAAAACGCGAACACGGGTTTGTTCTTTGATCATTTGAGATGGGAAATATTATGTTTCGGAAGCCTTTGAGGTAAATCAGAAGCGTTCTAATCTCGTGGCGCAAAGGCCGTCATATTTTCAAAAGCAACCCGTAGCAAGTACAGTTTTTAAAGGTGTAGATTTTTTGGCAAATCTTTAGCTACAGCAATGATTTATCATTATGCATGCAAAATTTGAAGGGGAAAACTTGAAAATTGAGCGCGCGGTGAGCATTTTGGTGAAATGAGTTTCCATCATGTGAGTAATTGGAGTAACCTTAATATGCATGTATATACCAACTAAAAAGATGAATACACTAGCGCCATTACAAGTTCAGCCACTTTCAGTTTTTTTTAATATTTTAAATCTAGATCGACATTTTCCATTCAGCCAGTTTGTTAACTCAATCGCGTCGTTTTGGGGCAGTGTGAAAAGGATAAATTCTAGCAAAAACATCAATTCATTTTTTTACAGTAATAAAATAATAATAATAATTAAAACTTATATAGCGCAAATTAGCATGTGAATATGATCAAATGCGCTTCACAGGAATTGATATGGACTCCTATTTACTTGCTATTTACTAACTTATTTACACATATATAAAAACCTGATTAGGCCTAATTTAATTTAGTTAAACGTTGAACGCAATCTCAAAAAAGGGAGTCTTCAAAATGTTCTTAAAACCTGTAAAATCATTAATGTTACGGATATGTACGGGTAGTTTATTCCAGAATGTTGGAACAGCAGATGTCTGTCGCTAATGTTTAGTAAACGAGTATGAGTGTTTTATATGTGATAAAACACGAACTACGAGTTTATTAAACAGCTTCAAAAACGTCTCAGTTAGATCACGGCATTGTCAAAATAATTTTCCAAAATAACTTTGTTGATTAGCTGAGAAAAGTTGAAATTGAAAGTTGAAATTGAAATAAGTTGAAATTTGAAGCGTGTTTTATCACATATAAAGACACGCCACGCTTATGATTTCTCTTTGTGTTTTCCTCATGAATTATTAATGAGTTTTTGAAATAATATATATCCCACTGTTAGATCGAAGACTGTATCTTAATTGGTCCCTGATGCTAATTAAACTATACAAATATATTCAAGCGCAAGGCCGTGAATCGCTTTAAAAGTATAAGAATAAGTATTTTAGTAACGCGGTATCTGATAGGCAGCCAATGCAGGGTATATAACACAGGAGTTATGTGGTCAAATCTTCAGATTATTCTCGCAGCAGACTGCTCTGCATGTGCTATGTGCACGCTGTAGTTTGTCCAGATCAATTGAGGGTAGGCCATAAAGGAGGCTATTGCAGTAGTCCAGGCAACTTCCAGGCGTCTTCCAGGCGTCCGATAATAAATGCTTGAACCGATATAGTGTTTGCGTCGATTCTTTAGATAAATATTTCCTGATGCGCCTTATGTTATATAGATGAAAGAATGAAGCTCTGCAAGTCTTATTAATATATGTTCTTGTATAGGTTAAGACTAGAATCAAGTCTTGGCCGCGCTTGTAGAATTGATTTTTGATCCACCGATAGTATAATTCCCCATTTTAGTATTCCGGGTTTTAGAGATTCCGGCTTTTAGTATTCCGGGTTTTAGAGATTCCCCATTTTAGTATTCCGGGTTTTAGCATTCCCCATTCCCCATTCCCCGTTCCCCGATTCCTTTCCCCGATTCCCCATTCCTTGTTATAGTAATAGCCGGCTGTCGGTTGTGGCGAAGTGATAAGGAGAGCGCCTACGAACACGAAGAGGGCTGGGTTCAATGTTTTTGCTCATATGCATGCACTTGTTTATTGGTTTATTTATATATTTTTTGGCATATAAGGGCCTTTTATTTTACAGAATTGTAAACATACCTCTTTTATGTTATTCGCTGATATTTACTGTATGGTTCCATAACATGTGTCAACTGCAACAAGATAAAGACCTCTAAACCCAATATCTGAATCACGAAAACGAGGCTCTATAGCCAAAATCAAGCACTTTTCGGAAGGGTGTTTTGATATATTTTAAGTGCAACATTTTTGTCTGCCAATCGATGTGCTTCACTATGGAGTCAGCAATAACCAGAGTCTTCTTCTTTCCTAGTTTATCAATTGGTTGATTTACATAAGGAAAATTTTGCTTTTTTGTTGTTGAAATTTTAAACCTTGATGTTTCTTTTGAAAGATATTTTTAATCTGGCTACTGATGCTTGCTTTGTCTGCTTCATTTCGAGACGACTCTGGCTCTGTCATCGAAGATATATTTTCATCCTCAAGTGTTGTGAACTGATTTCCAGTCATGTACTGGACTGGAGGCTGAAAGCTTGCTCTTTAATTTAGTGAATTTACTTTTGCTTCACATTCGTTTTGTTTTAAATCCAGAACTTGTTTTATCCCATTATTGTCCTTGGCGAGTTCTGTTCCCTTTGCTTCGAGAAATTAATTCGATTTCGTTCGCCATCTTGTTTTCATCTTCTGGCAGATACTTTATTTTAACAACGGATTCTTCCGCTCGCGAAATCCAAATTTGGCGTTCTTCATGATGACCACGTTTTCCGGCGCTCGTATTTTGCTCGCATTATTTATATTTAATGTGTTTGTCAAACACCATGGACATGCCAACATATATTGCATCGACTTGACGTCCAACATCCAAAATCGAGCATGATTGTCCTCTAATGAAGCAAAGTCTTAATTACCTGCTACAGCTGCAGGCTCCCTGATGTTACAAAAGACGCAGCATATGGAATCTTTGTTGAAAATTGATAAGATTAGGTCCGTAGGTGACATGAAAGGTGTCGGGACTGACTGATGATTATTAATTAATATATGTTGACATGCATGACGCACGAAGTCGAGAGAGATTAGAAGAGAATGAGTGCGAGTTGAGTCAGTGTGCTAGAAAACGAGTGAGTATTGGGAACATTACGTTAACTGGGACACAAGGGAGAACATTCTATACTATTCTATTAATTGATTTATTGTTACTGTTGGGTTAAATATAATATATTTTTAAAACATTTGTGATTTTGTGACTTGTCGGGAACTACGTTAAAGCGGAGGCGAATTCTCGACAAAGGGTTAAGAATACTTAATACTCATGTTGCAAAGTGTATTATGAATTTCAAATCACTTAAGCTCGACACCAGTGGATATGGTTCACTTTAATTCCCATATTAAATGACAGATTGCCTGATGAGGTTAATATAATTGCTCGACAATTTCTGCCAAAGTCTAGAATTTAGATGAAGTAATGGAGTATTTTGGCAATGAACTCAGAGCCCAAGATAATTGTAGTCAAACGGATGCCGAGTACGGATGTTATGTAAATTTATTAAAATAAAAAAAACGTTGAAAAAGGTTGGATTAGTTAAATTAATCTGCTTTTTACATTCGAAAATCAACCTTTTTATTTTTGCTCGTATCTTTTTAATTAATTAATAATGTATTATGTAATTATAGATAATTCAGAACTATGGTTGAGATGTTACTGTGTATAAATATTGGTAGCTAAATTAAATAATAATAATAATAATATAATGTATACGAAAAAGGTTCCTACATGCGATATGTTTAACAAACTGTAGTCGTTTATTCTGAAAATTGTATATGTTACGGCTCAACTACTAGACTTTCCAAAATCCTTTCCAGATCCCTCTATGGCGCGCTTCACTTCGTCGCTCGCTCCCTCTCCCGCGTCCTCCCTCCCCCATGGTCGATTTGTGGCAAGTCTACTCAACTACATGCTTATGTATAGCATTGGCATTCCATTAGCATTGGCATTCCAGGAATTCTGAAATTTTCTTATTGTTAGTAAAATTAATCTTTTCAGGCAGTTGAGGCTTGAAGGGCCATTGAGAAACACGGCAATTGCCCTATAGCCGCAAAAACTTTTACCCTGTCTCAATATGAAAACTACAAAGACGCTGATCGCCGTCTTGACACTTTTGGTTTCGTTTGTCGGTTATGTATCTGGTAAGTTTCTCATATCTTTTAATTAATAAACATCTATTTCCGTGTTCTCAACCCAGTCACATTAATTCGAAATGCGACTAGCTGCGAATAAATATTTTCAAATCATAACGCATTTTACTGGAGTTACATTTAAAACAGGCGTTTTATAACACTTTTTCACGTTCTAGAGACGATATACTTACTATACAAAGAGTATGCATCACCGACCTTATATATGAGCAGTTTACCAGAAGTTTTTATAACCAACCATACCAAATTATATGTATATATATATATATATATATATATATATATATATATATATATATATATATATATATATATATATATATATATATATATATATATATATATATATATATATATATATAATATTACGTGCGGAAACTTCAATATATGCCTCCTCGGGTTTTGGCCCTCTGGGGCCAAAACCCTGCGGGGGCAATTACTTTTTCTCACACTGAATACGGAATAAATGTCGTTGCACACTTGAAATTTAATGACTGATGCTCATCTGAATATATTAGGTGATTGCTCCTCATCCCAAATATATGACTGTTGCTTGCTCTGAATATTTAATGACTACTGTTCAGCCTGAATATTTGCGCGACCTTACATACTGACAATCTTACCTGCGAGTCTTTGAAAAAGTTGTATATCAATACGTCGTCAAATTCTAAACCCTTTGCTTCATAAATAGTCATGACCAGAGCAAGTCTCAGTTCTTCAGGAAGTGAATCTCGAACTTCATCAGAAGCAACAAGAATGACTTGATGAGCGCCAAATTCTATTGGTGAAGTTTTCCGTTTGTGACCACGAAGAATTACAGCGAGATCACTGAAACTACACGACTCCAAAAGGACTGGTTTAGGACCTTCAAACAATCCCTGGTCACGTGCCAATTTATCAAACGACTCCGGGAAAAAGTGAGATAACAAATCAGTGACACTTGAAGCTAAGTTCAAGATACCAGCATGAGATCGATAATTGTGAGTGAGTTCGTAAACTCTGTCAGGAACAACGACTTCTGCTTCTTGGCCAACAGATTTAACAGATTCTTTCATATAGTAGAATAGGGATCTGAGATCACTGAAGCGGAAGGCAATTCCTCTCATAATACTCTGAGCAGTATCTCCAGTAAAGAATAATCTATTAGGATTACGACATGAACGAATGATAACAGACAACTCAGCTTGGGTGAAGTCTTGTGTCTCATCCACATAAATCTCATGAATAGACCATGCTGGGACGTGATGTTCGAGGCGATGATAAATGTTGTGAACCACGTCAGCTTCATCGAACATACCCTCACTGCGTTTAATGCGTTTGTAAGCCAAAAACAATTCATAGATAGTTTCTCGATCCGCAGTAAAACTTGATGCCCTCTTCTTTCCTATGGTCTGATATTCTTCCCACGTTATGTAACCACTGTCACTATGAAGTGCTTCGACAGATCCTTTAATGAACGATATTATCTCTGTCCACACAAGACTAGGATGATAATCCACTTTCTTTTTCTTTGTCATTTTCCGCCACAGCTCATTCTTGAACACTTGATACGTAATTTCCCGTCGAAGATCCGCTTCACCTTCTGCTATAAGCTCGCGATCTGCCGTGGGCTTGCTTTCAATTTCTTCATCGTCTTCATCTTCATCTTCGGAATAGTCTACTGGTATTTCTTGCAGATTGTTATCTTCTTCACCCCACCCTTTGACAGATCTTTCCAATTTGCCATCTTCGTCTCTCGGGAAGAACGGTTTACCAGGCAAGGATGCATCTAACATTAACAGCCAGTCACGAGAACAAATAAACAAAGGCCATGCTTGTTCTTCAAGTTGATCAAATTTGTAAACTGACAAGGATTGCTGATTGTCAACATGATTTTGTGCTGTAAAACATGCCTGACTTAACTCGATGAAATTCTTCTGAACTTCTTTACACAACACCGCGTTCTTCGTGATAAATGCCTGATGAAGATGTTCTAAAGTTTGTTCGCTCCCAGCAGCCGGTACACCCTCAATTTCATCGCTTTGGCAACACGACTCTTGGTAACCTTGTTCCATTGGTGGCCTGGAATCTTGCTGTAAACTAGAGCTTGAGCAGCCTTGATCATCTTCTATGGCATCGTGCGACGAGGTACTACTTCTTTCTTCACGCACGGACGCTTCATTCCCACCTTCTTCTTCGCTTTCAGCATCAGGGATTACATCGGTCCCTCGTGGAATAAATTGTGCAACATTTGGAATACTAGGTTCATCGAGCGTGTTCCGCTGCCAATATGTTTGATAATTATTCCACAAACGATAAAGACAACATGTTGTTTTTCCTGTTCCACTGCGTCCGAGCAGGAGAATTGAGGTCGTTCGTTTTGGTGCCAGATTAATAACAGAGTGTTCCAGTTCAGATACACGAAAAGGAAAATCAAAACTTGTCTTAGTTTGATTACCAAGCATAGCGTCAACCATGGCGTTGGAGAATTCGTAAAACTTAAGAATGTGATACTCCGTTTCTTCCGGGCTTCCAGGTGGAAAGAACATCTTAGACAATTCAGTAGAGCTACACGGTTTTTTACTTTCCTCAACCTGCTGGTCGCTATCTTCTCTCGTGACGTATATTTTTGGTATACAATCTCGATCATTATGTTTTGACAAAGATGAACTATCGACTGGGATCCCTTTAAGATTCTTCTTGATAAAACAACTCGTACCACGATTATAGGAACGAACAATTTTCTCGATCTTCCTAGGCACTGTGTCATGGTCGAATACGATGTCCCAAATTCTAATCACTTCGGTATAAATTCCACCTCCATTTTCATTTTTGTTATCTGATAAGGCGCTGCAACGGGGGGAGAAAGCAATCGCACGTTCCCATAAAATACGAGCTGATTTATCAAGTTTCGCTTCAAACAAACGGATTTTTGATTCCTTACCAATTACCAATCGTTTGGCTCGGCTTCCTCGCATTTGTCCATTTGCCAATTGTCGGATTATTCTCACAATTTGCCTCTTCTTGTCACATGGTAACTTTTTGTTCTTGAGCTTTTTCCACACTTCAGAGGTGCATTCCACTTCCCATGTTAGATTATCAAGCATGTTGTCACACACGTCATCATCATCAACTAAGTTATCATTCACCTCTTCATAATTTTCATGGACAACATTAAAACTTTGCCCTGGAAGAGATTCTTTATCTTCAACCACTTCGTTCTCGGTTGCCAACGTGTTGACGATCAACTCTTCAGGAGAAATAATTTCGTTGCTATTAGTAGTAATATTCTGGTCAATTTCACCCGTTTCCTTAACTTCACTGCACTCTGATTGTTCTGTTTCATTTGCAATTTTAATTTCAAAATGTTCGATAGCTTGGGAAATCTTTTCACGTAATATTTCAATCTCGGTTGGACAATGAACTGGAGGAACTGGTTCTTCCTCGACGCTTGGTATAACCTGCTTTACTTCTTCATCTTTCTTGCATTTGCTTGGAGTCGGCATAGCAATTCTCTCGTTGTTTTTCTTTTTCTTTCTCCTCTTGTTCTTTTTCTTAGTATTATCTGGTGCAAAGCTTTTAACACTTTCTTCAATCAAGCGATACCTTGGGTCACTGTTCAGACGTATCATCATTAATGGAGTCTTTCCGTCTTTGTTTCTTGTTGTTGGGTCAACCTTGTACTTCCTAAGAAGATCTACTCCTTCAACTGCATGATGCCACATTATTTCGCGAGACGCTACTAAATGATAAAGACTGTTTTCTTTTCTATCAAGAGTTTCAGGATAGGGTGTTGTAGTGTTGGCTGAGCTTTCAGAGTTTTCCATTAAGTGAACAAATATCTGCCAGTGTCCTAGGTTTAAATTTATGAAACAGTATTAAGATAATTGTATGTATTTTTTTACTTTATTAATATGTAATTCTGGAGGAAATTATTATATTTTGGGAAATTTTTGTCCGCAACTTTTATTCTTTTATCTGGGCATGCAGTAATTATTATTTATTATATACATGACAAAATTACTGCAATCTGATTGGTTAACATGAGTGCAATTATTTCATTAATTATTTATCTTCTGTAATCAGTGGCAAGTACTGCAATTTCATTGGTTTACAGGAGTGCGATTTGAGCATTAATCGTACCTTTTCTGAGCTGTAATCGCACTCTTGTCTACAGCCAATGAAAATCAGTCTAGTATTTACAACTAGCCAATCAGCATTCAGGATACAAACTTTGAATTTTATTTTTTTTATTGCTGTAAAAAAATTCAAAATGGAGGAATT